CAGGAGTAACAGCCCGTTTGTAGAACACCCAGTGGAGGAGGACTTAACATGTATTTTCCCAGTGGTTATGCAACTATTTCCTAGTTAGCAGTAGAATACTGGTGATCAGGAATCCTGGAGTCTACCTCTGGTTCTGGAAAAGGAGCGTGGCTTATAGGGTTAGAGACAGGATTGACTAAAACCAGTTTTAATCATTCTGAAAGGCCATGGAGATAAGACTGGGTTTGTCATGTTAGAGACCTTGACTCTGTGTCTGCAGTGACCTTTGCATAAACTGTCTGCAACCTTATAAGAAAAAAAAAAAAAACAGACGCGGAGGTCACTAGCTCTTCCCTAACTTTCTTCCGGCAGCTCACGGAAGCTACTGGATCGCATGCCCTGATTCTCATGGGTGACTTTAATTTTCCTGATATCTGCTGGGAGAGCAATACAGCGGTGCATAGACAATCCAGGAAGTTTTTGGAAAGCGTAGGGGACAATTTCCTGGTGCAAGTGCTAGAGGAGCCAACTAGGGGGGGCGCTTTTCTTGACCTGCTGCTCACTAGCCGGGTAGAATTAGTGGGGGAAGCAAAAGTGGATGGGAATCTGGGAGGCAGTGACCATGAGTTGGTTGAGTTCAGGATCCTGACACAGGGAAGAAAGGTAAGCAGCACGATACGGACCCTGGACTTCAGGAAAGCAGACTTCGACTCCCTCAGGGAACGGATGGCCAGGATCCCCTGGGGGACTAACTTGAAGGGGAAAGGAGTCCAGGAGAGCTGGCTGTATTTCAAGGAATCCCTGTTGAGGTTACAGGAACAAACCATCCCAATGAGTCGAAAGAATAGTAAATATGGCAGGCGACCAGCTTGGCTTAATGGTGAAATCTTAGCGGATCTTAAACATAAAAAAGAAGCTTACAAGAAGTGGAAGGTTGGACATATGACCAGGGAAGAGTATAAAAATATTGCTCGGGCATGTAGGAATGTTATCAGGAGGGCCAAATCGCACCTGGAGCTACAGCTAGCCAGAGATGTCAAGAGTAACAAGAAGGGTTTCTTCAGGTATGTTGGCAACAAGAAGAAAGCCAAGGCATGTGTGGGCCCCTTACTGAATGAGGGAGGCAAACTAGTGACAGAGGATGTGGAAAAAGCTAATGTACTCAATGCTTTTTTTGCCTCTGTTTTCACTAACAAGGTCAGCTCCCAGACTGCTACGCTGGGCATCACAAAATGGGGAAGAGATGGACAGCCCTCTGTGGAGATAGAGGTGGTTAGGGACTATTTAGAAAAGCTGGACGTGCACAAGTCCATGGGGCCGGACGAGTTGCATCCGAGAGTGCTGAAGGAACTGGCGGCTGTGATTGCAGAGCCATTGGCTATTATCTTTGAAAACTCGTGGCGAACCGGGGAAGTCCCGGATGACTGGAAAAAGGCTAATGTAGTGCCAATCTTTAAAAAAGGGAAGAAGGAGGATCCTGGGAACTACAGGCCAGTCAGCCTCACTTCAGTCCCTGGAAAAATCATGGAGCAGGTCCTCAAAGAATCAATCCTGAAGCACTTGCATGAGAGGAAAGTGATCAGGAACAGCCAGCATGGATTCACCAAGGGAAGGTCATGCCTGACTAATCTAATCGCCTTCTATGATGAGATTACTGGTTCTGTGGATGAAGGGAAAGCAGTGGATGTATTATTTCTTGACTTTAGCAAAGCTTTTGACACGGTCTCCCACAGTATTCTTGTCAGCAAGTTAAGGAAGTATGGGCTGGATGAATGCACTACAAGGTGGGTAGAAAGCTGGCTAGATTGTAGGGCTCAACGGGTAGTTATCAATGGCTCCATGTCTAGTTGGCAGCCGGTATCAAGTGGAGTGCCCCAAGGGTCGGTCCTGGGGCCGGTTTTGTTCAATATCTTCATAAATGATCTGGAGGATGGTGTGGATTGCACTCTCAGCAAATTTGCGGATGATACTAAACTGGGAGGAGTGGTAGATACGCTGGAGGGGAGGGATAGGTTACAGAAGGACCTAGACAAATTGGAGGATTGGGCCAAAAGAAATCTGATGAGGTTCAATAAGGATAAGTGCAGGGTCCTGCACTTAGGACGGAAGAACCCAATGCACAGCTACAGACTAGGGACCGAATGGCTAGGCAGCAGTTCTGCGGAAAAGGACCTAGGGGTGACAGTGGATGAGAAGCTGGATATGAGTCAGCAGTGTGCCCTTGTTGCCAAGAAGGCCAATGGCATTTTGGGATGTATAAGTAGGGGCATAGCGAGCAGATCGAGGGACGTGATCGTTCCCCTCTATTCGACATTGGTGAGGCCTCATCTGGAGTACTGTGTCCAGTTTTGGGCCCCACACTTCAAGAAGGATGCGGATAAATTGGAGAGAGTCCAGCGAAGGGCAACAAAAATGATTAGGGGTCTGGAACACATGAGTTATGAGGAGAGGCTGAGGGAGCTGGGATTGTTTAGCCTGCAGAAGAGAAGAATGAGGGGGGATTTGATAGCTGCTTTCAACTACCTGAAAGGGGGTTCCAAAGAGGATGGCTCTAGACTGTTCTCAATGGTAGCAGATGACAGAACGAGGAGTAATGGTCTCAAGCTGCAGTGGGGGAGGTTTAGATTGGATATTAGGAAAAACTTTTTCACTAAGAGGGTGGTGAAACACTGGAATGCGTTACCTAGGGAGGTGGTAGAATCTCCTTCCTTAGAGGTTTTTAAGGTCAGGCTTGACAAAGCCCTGGCTGGGATGATTTAACTGGGAATTGGTCCTGCTCCGAGAAGGGGGTTGGACTAGATGACCTTCTGGGGTCCCTTCCAACCCTTATATTCTATGATTCTATGAACTGCCTTTTCCCTTCACTCTCTCCTCCCTCAGGAACTGCGTAATTTTCCCTCAAATTCTGTGTGTTCACCTTGGAATAAAAATGTTCAGTTATGGCTAAAAAGTTATACTTTATAGACTAACACTACCTGTGAAACTGATTCTACGACAGGAGCACATGAGGAAGCAATAATGCAGGAAGATTGTGAGTACAGGTGAGAGTTTCCCTGGTTTCCATTCCTGTGTCTGATGCCACAGTGGACCCTGGCAGCCATGAGGTGCAATTACAGAAAGGTTCTTCTCAGCCCCTGCAACCCGAGGCTGCTCTCTGAATAATAATAATCCAAAAAAGGGAGGAAAAACATTGGAGAAAAAATGTATTGGTGGTGTTTTCAACTGATTTAAAAATCAATGTAAAATCATTGGAAGCCCCTGGGGAATTGAGGATTGTGAAGTCTTTGCTGCAAACTGCCTTCAGCCAAAATGCTGTGTCTTTCATTTCTCTTTGTAATCGACACAGCTATGGCAGGAGACACTCTTGAAAAGGAAACCTTGGAGACTGAGTTTAAAAAGTTTTTTTTTTCCCTTGATATTTTTGAAATATGTGAAAATAAAATATGCCCAAGAAAAAAGTAAACTACTGTAATTTAGAAAAGGCTATTTATTAAATATTACACAAACACTTAATAAACCCTTAAACTATGAAGGGTTTAACTAACTTTTTATAGGCTAGACCAGAGGTGGGTAAACCGGCCCATGGGACCCTCCTGCCTGGCCCCTGAGTTCCTGGCCTGGGGGGGACTGTTCCCCCTCCCCCACAGCCTTGTGCGGCACAACGCTCTGGGCGGCCGGGCAGCGCAGTTGCAGAGCCGCGGCCTGACCCGGTGCTCTGGGTGGCACAGCTGTCGCACCGCCAGCCACTGGTGCTCCAGGCAGCGCAGTAAGGGGGCAGGGAGGCTGGATAGAGGGCAAGGGAGTTGGGGGGGTTGGTCAGTGGGCGGGGGTGCGGATGGGGTCGGGGTGGGCAGAGGGTGGGGAACAGGGGGGTTGGATGGGGCAGAGGTCCCTGGGGGGGGCAGTCAGGAAGGAGAGGGGGGTTGGATGGGGTGGCAGGAGGCAGTCAGGGGTGGGGAGTCCAGGGGTGGTCAGGGGACAGGGAGCAGGGGGTGGTGGATGTGGTAGGAGTCCCAGGGGGGCCGTCAGGGGACGGTGGGGGTTGGATGGGGCAGGAGTCCTGGGGGAGCTGTCAGGGGGCGGGGGGTTCGGGGGTTCGGATAAGAGGTGGGGGCAGGGCCATACCTGGCTGTTTGGGGAGACACAGCCTCCCCTAACTGGCCCTCCATACAATTTTGAAAACCCAATGTGGCCCTCAGGCCAAAAGGTTTGCCCGCTCCTGGGCTAGACTGTGCCCCCACATGGTTACTTAAAGAGAAGATAGGCACAAGATTAAAGGGAATCCCTCCTGGAGCTCCCACTGAGGTGGAGGGAGATCCTCACTGGCCCCAACTCAGAGATGTGACTGGACCTTCAATTTGGCCACCTTAAGCCAAAATTATTTCCAGAGGTGTGGTAAATGCCCTGCCTCTGGCTAGTAGGTGATGTGTATATATATCACTGCATGAGACTAGACAGAGAAACTAGCCATCTACATATGAGTGAAACGACTGAAGTGTTCTCAAGTGCGCAAAAAAAAAAACCCAAAAAGACAGAGCTGAAATAATACTTTCTCCAGTCTTTGTCATAAATATAAAGAAGTAATCTTAGACGGCACCTGTAGCTGTGGTACATGAAAAGCATGTTCAGTCAAATGTAGTTTTAATGTTCATGACATTCCTTTAATGTTCAGGCATCAGTTATGCTAAAGGCTTAACCATGTCAATGTATGTGCAATTTTCTGTAAAAAAGGCCAAGGATGCTGGCTTTGCAGTCTGTTGACTGACCTATTCCACAGACAGGTGTCATTTGGTGGAAGGCCAAAACAACACCTCCTTATTTGCCAGGGAGTTATATCGAGGAAGAGCAATTAAGTTATCTGCCTACCACAACCTCTCTTTCTTTGGTTTGGTCCATTCCTTCTCTCCATACTGGGGCCATGCATTTTAAAAGTATTTAATCCAGCTCCAGGGGTGTGGAAAGATGTACTGACAGACTCTGTAAAAGGGTTAATTTTCTGTTTTGAAATAAACCTACTCACCACTCTCTGTTGCTAGAGAAGGTTTGGAGTAGTGTCTCCACCAGTCTCTAGCAAAATGGAGTGGGGCCTCCTGCCCTCAATCTCTTCAGAAAAAAGCACATAGGGACTTTTGGTCATCACTGACATATCAAGAGTCTTATGGAAAAATAATTCTTTCATAGTTATACTATTTATACAAAATAAATGCTTCTGTTTAAAATTTGCTCCAAAAAAATTCTTCAGAGGAATAACTATTTATACCCACATATAGTAAATGTGTTGCTTCAGTAGTGAATATAATTTATGATGAGAATCAACTATTTTAAAAAATAAAAACAATTACATGTCAGTGATACAGAAAATTAATATTCAGGCCCTCACCAAATAAATTAGTCCATCAATGTAAGCTATAAATTACTGTCCATCTTCAGTTTGTGCTTGTCCAGACACAGGACAATCAGCTTCATACTTTTTTTTCAGGCCTTTCAAGAATATTCGCAAACTGTCTGCATCCAATCGAGAGTTCCTTGCAGTCTGAACCAGCCTTGTTGCTAGATGGTATACAGCCCTCTGTCTTAATGTCTCAGGAGTGGTTCTTTGCTTTTGCTGTTCTTAAAAACAAACACATACATTAAAATGTGAACACAGATATTCATTTATTGAAGTAGTAATATTGGCTGTTTTCTGCCTGTCCCAGTTCTGTGTCTGCTGATGTACCATTTGCAGATTCTATCTAGGACTATATCTAGTACTTCTTGATGGTAATGACAGAGCTCTATGTTGTCATTTGACAGTGATCTTCAATAAACCCCATTAAAACCACTCCCAAAAACATAATGTCTAGTTTCTTGACCTAACACCAGAATGAACTGAGAAATCCGTTTGAAATCTATCCTACGAACAGCTTCTTAGTCTGTAAAATTCTGGTGAAATGTTACAAAGGTTATATAAATAAATTACAAATTTTTTTTTGCAACTGTTCATGGAATAAAGAAGCTTTTTGAAAAGAATAAAATAAAATCCTTCTCTCCCTTTCTCACAGTAATTTTATTAGCAAATTTGTTAAAAGTAAAACTGATTTTCTTTAAAAATTCCCAATAATCCCTGTATAATTAGATCTAATTTTTATGTGCCATACTTCTATATCTCTGTAATATATCATTGAGCTACTTACATTTTATAAAACAATAGACAATACATGAGAATATATTGGAGGTTTGTGTTTTATAAGACTATAAATTAACTACTGCAAATTACTACTACATACCAAAATTTGTCTAGCAATATGAGTTGTGATCTCCTTTGCATCCAAAATTACTGATGGTGGTAGAGAAGAAACTTCTGCAGCTTTTAATCCTAAACATAAAAAATATAAAGTAGTCCTTTACTCTCTGTGCCAGAATGAATGCTTACCTTAATCAAAATGTCACTCTAAAATTATTTTTTTCAAAAAGAATTTTTATTTCATTCCCCTATAAGTTTCCTCTCCTCTGTATCTGAACTCAGTAATTTTCCTAGCAGTCTGACTTATAAGGAGCAAGGATTAAATCAAGTTACTCAGGATCTCTGGTGATGCCTGCTATAAAACATATTCTATGTATTCAAAATAGCTATTCTGACACAAGCTGACTGCTTATGCTAAGATGCATCAGCTATAATACTAGGGCTGAGAATAGGCAGCTCTTTTTCCATTACTGAAGGAGGGGCAAAGTCTACAGAATAGGAAGAAGAATCCCTCATTAAGAGGATTAGAGAACAAAAGTTGGGAAGTGGGTTTAGCAGCCTTCACTTAAGTCTGATCCAATAGGGAAGAGAGAAGAGCTCGGTGTGGAACAAAAGTAGGGTTGCCACCTGTCCAGATTTTCTCAGGTTTATCATTCCTGCGATAATGTCCCAGGAAATCTGTAATGGTGATCAGTACTCTCAGCCATACATTTGTATGGGCTCAGGACATCATCTTGGACATCCTGGTTTTAACCCTAAACAGAAGGAGCCTTACTGCAGTGAGGAAAACGAGGTGGAGATCAGAGTCTGGGTGGTCGGTTTCCAGGTCAGTGAAAATGATTGAGACTGTTTTTTCCAGTGTCTCACCTGATGAGCCATTTATCTTTGGGAAGAGGAACAGAGTATCACTGGTGCCTGTCCTGCTCCCAAGACTGTGATGTTTGATTCTTCCTCCATCCCTTAACTGGTCTAGGAGAACTTGGGGCCTAACCCAATCCAACAGCTGCTGAAAAGCTTCTATTTTCAATAGCTGGGCTGCATGCTTCTTCCTCCTCTGAAAGCTGAGAAGAAAAAGCAAGGCTCCTAGGAGTCCTTAAATTCCCCCGTGATGCTGGCAGACCAGGTGCCTCAACTGAACACTACTCCTGAGGGCATTCTGCACTAAAAAATTAAAAATTCTGCACACATTTTAAAATTCTCCAAAAATTCTGTAAGTTTTATTTGTCAATAAATAAATCCAGACGCTATAGCATGACAGTGGGGAGCACAGGCCACTGGCTGTACAAAGGTGGGAGATCACCCTGCAGCCTCCCCACGCCCTGGGACATGGACTCAGTGGCGAGGCTGCACCTGACCCTCACACAGCACAAGACCTAGGCCTGCCCCTCTGTGCCAGGCATACCAGGTGTGGGGCAGGCAGGCTCAACCAGGCAGGATCCAAGTGTGGAGGGGCTCACTGTGGGGGGATCCAGCTGTGGAGTGAGAGGATTCTGTGTGGGACAATCTGGGTACAGGCAGCTCACTTGGGGGTCTAGGTGTGAGGGGATCTGGATAAACAGAGGCTCACTGGGGGGCTTCCAGGTGCAGGGGCAATGGGAATGGTTGGGGATCAGCAGAGGGGTCTGGGTGTGGGGGTCTTACCAGGGGGGTCTGGGTTTTGGGGAGTGGGGCTTGGTGAGTTGGAGGTCTGGGTGCAGCTAGTTGGGGGTCAGTGGCATGGGGGTCTGGATGTGGGGACTCAGGTTCATCAGGATGGAGGCTTGAGTGCAGGGAGCTCACTGGGGGTGGTCTGGGTGCAGGGGTGGGGGTCCAGAGGCAGGGGTTCTGGGTGCAGGGGGCCTCCAGATGCAGGGGTTGAGCTTCAATGGGATGGGGTTCAGGTTATGAAAGGCCAGGGGTGGTTCTGAGTGAGAGTCAAGCTGGACAGGGGTATCTGGGTATGGGAGGTCCAGATGCACAGGGTTTGGGTGGATGGGGGAGCAGCTCCCCATACAGTGACCCTCGTCCCCCCCCCCCTGCAGCTGAGGAGCAATGGGAGCAGGAAGCAGGGGAGGATGCTGAGTTTCCTGCAGCTGGGGGAGGTTTCTGGGGGTGGGTCTGATACAGCCCCACCCACTCCTTTTAGGGGAAGAGGAAGTCCCATCCTCTCCTGCTTCCAGCCCAAACAGGACTAGCACCTGATCCTGGCTCAGGGTAGAAGCCACTGGCTGGGGTGTCCCCAGGCCTGTGGTGAGTTACCTCTCTGCGAGCTGCTCTGGGTTCCTGAAACAATGTACATGCACAGCTAGGGAGTGGTGCGTGACTGCTCTTCCCTGTCAGAAAGTCATTTTTCTGCAGGGAAGTAAAGAAATCTGCAGGGGACATGCATGAATTCTTCCAGTCCTATAAATCTATGTATAATTCTTCAGAATTCATCTTGCGAAAAATCCCCAAAACTGGCCTTGTGTTACCAATGTGAGGCAAATTAACAGTGAAATTTTGATAAAGGCCTAGAAGGAACATTTTATATTTAATTAATTCTAATTTTAACTCGAATAATTTATAGTCTTCAGCTATCTCAGACTTGTACAAATTGTGTGTTGTGAGACAACTCCCTATTGATTAAGTCAGCTAAATCAGGGATCCAACTACAGAATCTAGCATTTATAGCTAGTCTCCACTAGATGCAGCTGCTCCACTGCAGCATGTCTCGTGAAGACACACTATGTCAACAGGAGAGAGCTCTCCTGTCAGCATAATTACTCCACCTCCGCGAGAGGTGGTAACTATGTTGGCAGAAGAGCGCCTCCTGCTGATGTACGGCTTCCCACACACCAGCACTTAGGTCCGTGTAACTTGCATCGCTCAGGACGGTGTCTTTTTTACATCCCTGAGTGACATAAGTTATATCAACATAAGGGGTAGTGTAGACCGGCCCTCAGAAACATTATGTGGATTCTTTTCACTCCCCAAAGGATTATGGGTCTATAAAGAAATGAATGGATGACAATGAGACATAAATAAAATGTTTTAATCTGTTACACAGGCTGCTTCACTACAGTTTATATTAAATTTAAAGGACAAATGAACCCACTTTCCCAAGAACACTGTTTTGATATTTCAAAGGATAAAAAGTGCCTCTGAATAAATAAATGGAGGCACACATCTATGAACATTAATTTGTCATTTTTAATACAGCCTTCATTCATTTAGGATGAGCTAAATGGGTACAGCTTTTAGTTAACTTTTTTATTTCATCCTATATGAGCAAAGACAAAAGAGGCAGCTCTCAGATAAGTCTTGAATGTGCAGGCATCCATTTAAGACTATCACACAGCACTTTGAATTGCTCCCATAATCAAACAGGAAATCAATGCAGAGCACTCAGTACAGCTATTATGTGCTCAGAGTGACTCATCTCAGGTCACTGTGTCCTCAACTAGTTGAAGATTCCAGGTGAAGTCCGAGAGCAGAAAGATCATTTTATTAGACAATCAAGTTTTTCATACTGTGGACACAAAATACTACCTTATTACACAACTATTTAAAATACAAAAATAACTGGAGCAGTATTTTAACCTGTTTATTTATTTAGCGGTGCATAGTCATCTAGCCATGCGATGGTATCTTCAATGGTGTGATGAAGTTCTTCTAGGCCACTGCTGAACCTGTATGTAACAGTTACTATATAAAAAATTATTCACAATATGGAGTGATCTGTCAGTTGACAGTAGGAATGTTAGACCCTAATAGTTTGATATATCTTATGTACTTTTTAATAAGTTATTAATATTAATACTGAAGTCCATTACCATAGTTTTTTTCCTCTGTGTGTCCTTTCGAAAGTATGTAAGTATAAGTAATTTTTTCCTTATTTCCAGCACTACTTCTCACATGTTGTACTTCAAAATGGTTGTTTTCCACATTGGGATATAAAGCATCTATATGACATAGTTCCAGGAAATGTGTAGCAAATAGAGTAAATGCCTAAATTAGGCAACAGAAATGGAAATATTATAACATATTAAGTAATCCTTCATAATTCATTATACTTAAGCAAAATAAGGTTAAAATATATATTTTCAAAGTGGGTACAGGAATTTAGCAATATGACTTTCACTGATGGCTAAACCTACATGCATTGCTTTGAAAAAATGTCCTGAAATTACTAAAAAATATTAAATTTAATGAAGAGATCTATTTCTTTGGTACTGTAAACATGGGCAAGATTATAGCAAAATAGTAAAGAAAGCTCCAGTTACAGGCAGTTTTAAAGCCGTTTCAAAAATATATTAAATTACCATACAACTGCTTTAGGGATATTGTTGTTAGTCTCATTCTTGGTATAGTCACTGCAAAGCTGTAAAAGCCAAGGCAAAGTCTTCGCCAACGGAAAGAACAGGAATGAACATGAATGGAGCCAAGGGTTAGAAGGAGTGTGTTCAAGGGATAATCCTGTGGTTGGAATGGGATGGGGTAAGGATAGGACAAGGACTAGAAGGGCAGGAAGTATGGCATCCTTGTCCTTATTCTTATCTATTGATCAATTTCTTATCTATCCATATATCCCAGTAAGTGTATCCGTATTATTTAGATCAGAATTGTCCATAAAATGAAGACTGGAGCATGAGAAAACGTTTTTATTTAGTACCATTTTAAGGCTGCATGAGAAAACAATTACAAATTGCAGAGACTAATGATTAAAAAATATAAAAAATACCTTCAGACTCAGTAGATATTCACACACTGAATAACAAATGCCAATACCTTCTTCAGTACTGGTACCTCTGCCAAGTTCATCAATTATGATGAGTGATTTGTCATTAGCATTTTGTATGATATACGTTATCTAAGAAAAACAATACTTTGTTATCTCTAGCAGTAAATTTTTAAATACCCCCTCCCTCCCTCTCCCAAAAAACCAAACAAGCCAACAAAAAGTCCACTGAAAACAAAGAACAACACGACAAAGAACAAAATCCTGTCAGAAGATCCATGGCTTTCACCTCTGAGCAGCTTCCAAACAGCTGACATTTTAAAACAAACTAAACATCCTGCCACAAAACTGTTTACCTCTTTATCTCTAAATATGTAATTTTTCCTCAAAATCAGATCTCAGGGGTGGAGTACTGGCAACAGTCAGATATGGCCCAACAATAATTTAAGGTACAATACCTAATGAAACATCAAGAGTAATGTCCAATGGAACAGTGATTTCTACTCCTGTTGGAATGGTTTCAGAGATATTGGACTTAAAACTGTGACATGATTTATAGAAAAGCTATTATGAATAATTCTTAGAACTTCCTGCTCATCTCCAGCTTGCTGGTTCGGGAGCAGGTCTTAAAGGCCATAACTCACATTGAAAATCTTGAAGAAAAAAACAGAAGATGGCAGGCAAGATAGAAAATTTTAAGGGAGTTGTAGAAAGGAGCAACAGGTAGAGAAAAGGATGGTTGTGGGTTTTTCTACCTTATTTTATTAAAGGCCTATTTTAGAAAAGTTTTAAAAAACAACTTACTGGTATTATTTTTCTGCCCTGCTTCCTGAGAAGTCCAGTTGTGCTAGTTACTAATACATGTTTGCAATATGGAGGTCTGATTAAACTCTTCTTCTTTCATATGGCTTAAAACCAGCATCGTTAGATGTCCAGATCTAAGTTGGCAATCCAATTGATTGCTTCAGGTGACACAGAGTAGATGGAAGAAATACCACTGATATATGATCATTTGGGACACTGGTTGATAAGGCGTTTCATAGTTTGAAATCTGTTTCTGCACTCACAAGTAGGATTGTGTATCAGTCCCCATTCATGGAGGACAGAGGCAAATCTGCCATGTGATGTGCACATTCAGTTCAAAGTGGAGCATATTTTCCATGTGAGTGAAAAGCCAGTGGGTTGTTCAGTTGAGTCCTTGATAACGTGTTTGTATGGAGCCCTTTCACCTTGCTCACCATTGATCTTTGTGGGAGAACCCCAAGTCTTCGAACTCCTGCGCTGCAAGCCAAAAAAGATTTCTGGATTTGAGTTGGAATCTTGATATATTATTTAGGTATTTATATATTGGAAAATCCTTGTTCCCTCATGCAGCAACAAATTTGGAGTGGGTTGATATGTGCCAGTATGGGAAGCCATGGTTGTGGCATTGATTTTACTATGCCTGTGATGACCTGCATGATGGTGTTTAATTGAGAATTGACAAATGATGTGTCTAGATGGGTCAGCAGTATTCTGTGGCAGAGTAGACAAAGGCTAGTGAAGAATCATAGAATCATAGAATATCAGGGTTGGAAGGGACCTCACTTGGAAGGGACCTCAGAAGGTCATCTAGTCCAACCCCCTGCTCAAAGCAGGACCAATCCCCAATTTTTGCCCCAGATCCTTAAATGGCCCCCTCAAGGATTGAACTCACAACCCTGGGTTTAGCAGGCCAATGCTCAAACCCCTGAGCTATCCCTCCCCCCTTCAAAGAGGTTTGTAGAGTTTTTGCATCGCCTCCCCAGCTTGCTGCTGACAGCTTATGGATGGGGTTTACACACATCTTTATTTTGTCATAGATATTTTTCAGGTGCTAGTGGAATGTGAGGCTTTGGTCTAACATCACATCAAGACATTTTGTAGTCTTATCTACTAGTCATAGAAGTCCATGTGCAGCTCTGCCCTAGCTTTTCGATTGTTTAGATGATAGCCTAAAACTGTGGTGTCAGCACATGTCTACACTGCACACCACATGTGTGGTAGGTGTAGCTCCCTGGTGCTGGAGTCTTACATGGAGACAAAGGCTCCAGCAGCTCCTGTGGCAGGGCAACGCTCCAGCAGTGGAGCCTTTTCCCGCTACTGGAATCTTTCCCTGCAACTGGGAAAAACTCCAGCCATGGGGAGGCAGTTGCAGGACACGACACTGCTAAAAATAGCAGTGTAGATGGGGGAGTCACTGCTTGGGTGAGGAGAGAGCCATGTAGGGTACATACTCACAAGCTTCAGGCATGTCTTTACTATATTCACCTAAACAGTACCTCACCCTTTACGCTGCTATTTAAACCTGTGCTGGCAGGAGAGGGGCAGGTAGTATATGTATGCTATAGACCGTTCAAAGGAATATGCAATGTAAACAGACCTTTAGTGGACTTTCGTTTGGCTGCCAATACAAGAAATATTCTTCCAAGGTTATTCACCTCTTCCTTGGTGAAGGGAAATGATAGGGAGATTGGGGATAGGTAGTGAGCTGACTATGTGTCAGAGCTCTCTGCACACTTTATGCTTAGTTGATTTTTCCCCCAGTACTTTTGAGTTCATAATAAGTGTTTCTGCAATTATATTTATTTGGTTCATCCGTAATAGCCTTTTTGTTTCTGGTTTCCAGTATGGGGTATATCGATTCTGATTGCTGTGAGAGATGTTTTTTCTTGCAGCTATTTGGATAAGCTTGCTGAAACAACTGAAATTTCCAGGCTTCAGTGGAACTGCGTCAATGGTGGCCTCAATTGCTGCAGTGAATCCTGGCCAATTTCCCTTTGAAACTTCTATTGCCATTTGGGTAATGACATGACTACTGGAGTTCAAACCCAATGTGGATTATCACCAGTCGATGCTAGCTGTGTGGGAAGTAGCAAGAGTAGTGCTAGACATATTCAACTGATCTTCGGTGATGAAACAGCGATCTGGATTGCAGTCTCTGTTCCAGGGAGCAGAATGAAAAGTGCCTCTGTCTTTCGCATAGAAAAGAAGGTATGTGTCTTCATTTGATGATAATTCCACAAGCGCCTCACCTGCAGTATCGTTACTAGCATAGCCCCACATTGTGTGGTGGCTACTGAAATCAATGACATATATATAAGCCAGGCGATGGAGTGTGGGTAATGAGGGAGAAGACAGTCTGTATTCAGTGGTTTATACACGTTAAACCAGAGGTGGGCAAACTACAGCCCCCGGGACCGTCCTCCCTGGCCCCTGAGCTCCTGACCAGGGAGGCTAGCCCCCAGCCCCTCCCCTGCTGTTCCCCCTCCCCCACAGCCTCAGCTCATTGCGCCGCCGGCGCAATGCTCTGGGCAGCGGGGTTGCAAGCTCGTGCCGGACAGCACAGCTGCAGAGCTGCGGCCCGACCCGGTGCTCTGTGCTGTGCGGTGGCATGGCTGGCTCCAGCCGGGCAGCACGGCTGCCTGTCCTGGTGCTCTGGGCACCGCGGCTGTAGCGCTGCCAGCCACCGGTGCTACAGGCAGCGCAGTAAGGGGGCAGGGAGCGGGGGGAGGTTAGATAGAGGGCAGGGGTCCGGGGGGGGGGCAGTCAGGAAGGAGGGGGGGCTGGATACGGCGGTGGGGAGCAGTCAGGGGCAGGGGTTCCAGAGGCGGTCAGAGGACAGGGGTCCCGGGGTGGGGGGGAGGAAATCAGGAATGAGAGGAGGTGTTGGATGGGGCAGTCAGGGCAGGGTGGTCCGGGAGAGGTAGATGGGGCAGGGGTCCGGGGGGGGCTGTCAGGGGACAGGGAACTGGGGGAGTTGGATGGGGCAGGAGTCCAGGGGCAGGGGGTGTCAGATAGGGGGTGGGGGCCAGGCCACCCCTCGCTGTTTGGGGAGGCACAGCCTCCCTAACCAGCCCTCCATACAATTTTGGAAACCCAATGTGGCCCTCAGGCCAAAAAGTTTGCCCTCCCCTGCGTTAAAACACTCTTATCTTGCTGATTCTTACTGAGATGGTGAAGGTTCCAGAGTTGCTCCTAGCAACTATTATGTCATAATCCTCAATGCTGTGCTTGATGCACGTAGCAAGGCTGTGTTTTGGGTGATGGAGGTGGGTGATGAGATTGTAGCCAGCAATATGGCAGCATGGTTCTTGAGTTTCTTGCAGGGCACTGACGTTAATCATGTCTCAAGTAACATGAGCTAGCTGGTCACTTGTAGGCTGGGAAATACCTTCAAACATTCAATTGGCAAATTTATAGAGCTGGGTCTATGGTTCTCTTAAGTGGCTCTGGATGGAGTCAGTTTTTGCAGAGTAACTATTTCCATTGCTGTTCAATCTGGGACTTCACTGGGTGATGTTTGGATGCCGATTTGACAATATTGGTTGTGCTTTAGCAGTGGACACTACATGGTAAAGGTTGTCATCACCTGCCTCTGGTTACTCTCTGAGCAGCAACTAGTGGATCATACAGTAGCAACATCCAGACAGTTTTCTTTCACTCTACAAACAGCCATCTGGTAGTTAACATTTCTTTCAGATGCATCACCTCAAGACTGGACTACTGTAGTGAACTCTATATGGGGATGCATCTTAAATTCATGTGGAAACTGAAGCTGATGCAAAATTCACTTGTTAAGTAAAGGTTTGTTTTCCCCATAATCACATTAAGATTGTGATTCACATAACACGTAAGACTGTATTAAGTTCTATGCTTGATAGTGACAACCTATTAGTTCCTGAGTTGATTTTCTGATGCTGGATTTGACCTGTAAATCCCTACATGGCCTGGGACCTACGTTTCTAAAAGATGCTGCTCTCCTCATGATATACAATATGGAAGAGAGATAAAGAAGCCAAGTTGTCTTTGACTGCTTTGTTTGTACACAGAATCATAGAAATGTAGGGCTGGAAGGGACCTTGAGAGGTCACCTAGTCCAGCCGCTGTGCTGAGGCAGGACCAAGTATTCCTACACTATCCCTGACATGTGCTCATCTAAAATAGAAGTGCTTCAATGCCAATGAAATATAGATCCATAAACCAATGTAAACTGTACCAGCTTAATGTTAATTAGGGCCCTTGATACTAAAATATTTAAACCTGTACCTCTTTCATTTCCTTCATGAATGTTGATGAATTTGTTTCTATATCATCATCCATACCAATTCTAGTGAAAATTTGCTCAGCAATTCTAAAAGAAGAATATTCTGCTGGGACATAAGAACCTGCAAAATAAAATAAAAGTACAAGTTATCTTATGTTATCACTCGTAGTAACACTATAGCTAAAAACTGGCCTTGTTTAATACACAGATAAAATCTCATCTTATTTTTAGAAACACATTTTTCCACTTAGTAAATAATGACATTTTCCATAGAAAACAATACGAGCAGTTCAAAAGAATACTTATAAGGTAAACTGTTGCTCACCAATCTGTGCCATAATTTGACAGAGAGCAATCTGTTTCAGGTAAGTTGATTTTCCACTCATATTTGGTCCTGTAATAATGATAAAATTGCTGCCTTCTGTGATGTAAGTGTTATTAGAAACAGGTTTTTCCATAGATATTTTTTCAAGAATGGGATGCCACCCCTGCTTGATTGCTAAGGTATCAGTAAATTCTGGACGAACTAAACCAAGAAAAAATTATAAGAAATGTTAAGCACTAAATACAAAAAACCTATGGCAATTATTAAAAAGTTAGATATTTAAATAAAATAAGAATCACTCATGCAGAGCTCTGAGTCTGTTACTCTTTCTCTTGTTGAATAATGTCTTGCTACTTGAGTTGGGGGCTTCACTCCTCTGGCAGGCATAGCACTACAAGGCGCTGCCTCAGTTTCCTCCAACCTGTATCTACAAAATAAGTCAAAACAAGCTTGCCTTAAAGCATTTCCCTTTAATTAACAGAAATAAATATCCCAAACAGAGAAAGACCTTCCACTTGAGCCCTTAATCCTACTCCTAGCTCCAGATTTGGGGGACCCCTCTAGTTCTGTATCTTGCCTGCATCATGAGGCTCCTAGTCCTGGAGCTAGAGTACTGTTCAGAACAGTCTTTCTGCTGTTTACATAAAATAACCCTCGGTCTTCCTCCCCAGAGCTGGAGGTACCACCTTCAGCTTCTCAGTTCTCACTGGAGCTTGGGTAGAACTCTTGCCAGTGCTTTAGCTAACATAGCATAAAAATATGATCCAGTTCTTCTCCCTGGAACTAAGGTTCAGGTACCATTTGTCTATCCCATCACAGAGTGGTCACACGCCCCATTTTCTATTGCCTGCTGTCTCCTGTCATCAGGAGTCTTTTTTCCCCAGCACTGCTCCTTGCTGACCTCCTCTCCATACTGAGTTCTGGTAATTTTATTAAAGTCAGGTGCTCCCCTAATTGAGCAGTAATCAGCCACCTGGGTAATTGATTAGCTCCCAGTCCACCAATTAACCACCAAGGCTGGCTTACCAACCTTAGTCATGGGTAGACTGTCCTTAATTCTCTCTAAAAGGCCAGTCACCCCATGACAAGGACTATTCACAAAGAAGGGATTATTCAACATGAGCAAGAGTGGAAGAATCAGAAATGATATTCCCATGTAGCTATGAAATCAGCAAAGACAGTATACTTGGAGGAATTAATGGGCTGTTTTCAGGTAGAGATTACATCTTTTATACGAGTCCTCATGATCTGTTACAAAAAAAATAACATCTTAGCCCTGCATCCTCAAATTAACATGCCAAGACTGTATTCAGAAGCAAATGGGGGAATACATGAATAAAAAGGGAAAGAAAAGTAGGAAAATTGAAGCTATAAAAGTAATTCATACATTGAGATAAATACAAGAGCCACAAACTAGACCTGGTGGTAATATTATATAAACATTGGGGGACAGGGGAATAACTTTACCCGCATTTTTATTAATATTTACCATCTTTTAGAAAGAAACTTACCGTAGTCAGAAAGAGTGCAGGCATGGGCAAATGACAGCAACATATCCAACATTGACACAGTGTCAGAGAGTTTGTATAGGCAATGGATATGTTCATAAATTTCACTCAGTAGTTTACATACTATCCTGCAAGCAGACAGCTCTGAATTAGTTACTGTACACTACTACATTTTATTGCTTTACACAATTTACAGCAATAAGGCAATTATTAAGCTCGTAATCATAGAATCATAGAATATCAGGGTTGGAAGGGACCTCAGGAGGTCATCTAGTCCAACCCCCTGCTCAAAGCAGGACTAATCCCCAACTAAATCATCCCACCCAGGGCTTTGTCAAGCCTGACCTTAAAAACTTCAAAGGAAGGAGATTCCACCACCTCCCTAGGTAATGCATTCCAGTGCTTCACCACCCTCCTAGTGAAAAAGTTTTTCCTAATATCCATAAAAAATAATGTCAATATGATACTTAGACACTAGGAAGACAGACATTTCATAAATGCCATAGAGATTTGTAAACATGGGCATTTCTAAAGTGTAGTAAGTTATCGGGGAACAAATTCTAGGCCAAATTCTGCCATCAGATGTGCAGATACAACTCCCACTGGCTTGAAAGGGAGCTGCATGTGCAAAATTGACTCTAAAAATACAGCTTTGGAACCAATGGCGTTCTATAGTCCTCCAAAAAGTGTGACTCTTCAGTTTCTTGAGTTGTTCATGTTTAAAATGGGTTCACATGATCACCAAAAATAGCCTATGTTAGCTTTTGTAATCTAGAAGAAAAGAGAACAATATATGCCCTTTGGTCCCTTTATAAGCATAATTTATGGAAAAACTGAAGGTAATTCTACTTAAAATGAAAGGCATACTTAATATAAATAATGGCTACACATTGCCAAAGTGCTATATTCATGTCATTTTTTGTTGATAATACTCTACAAAAAGTTTACTAAATGTGATGTATACTCTTCTTTTTTATGAATAAATCCCTATACATTTTAATCATAATTCAGGATAATGTAGATTTAGCCTTTTAATGTGCTCTCTCATGAAGAACACTCTCTCTCTACAATCTGGAGTGCTTTTATAAAGACACAATTTAACAATGAAAATATATGAGAAAAATTTCACAACTAGTTGTTAATATGGCAAATAAATCAAGTTAACACAAATATTAAAGAGTTTGAAATGTTCTTACAAGTAGGTCATGTGATAAATTTCTCTCAAAGACTCCTGGCACCTTTCATTCATTTTAATTAAGTCTGCTGAAGTAAAGCTATATGCATTTTTCATTTTAGTGATCTGTAAGGAAATTCAACCTTAAAGTAATACATCTCAAATAAATGCACATAAAGAAAGATTTCCAGAAACAAAGTAGGAACAATCTGGAAAGCAAGTGACAAAACTGTTACCTTATTTCACTTTTCCTAAATAAAATAGCATGAAAAGACAAGAAACAAAATGCAAATATTAGAATGATAGCAACCTTGTAACATTTCATATTATCTGACACATAGATGTCTAATACATTGTATAAAAGAATATGGGTTAAATAAATTCTATCCTCATTTATTATGTAATATCACTGAAGTAATTAATTTCATGACAAAACATGTCCAGAACACATACCTTTGTAAATTCTGAAGGTAGCTGACCATTAGGTAATGCTGCACACTCTGCATTCATTTGGATAAAAAATCCACGAGCAGAGCTGAAACTCATCTTCAAAGGTAGGCTGTATTTTTCTGCAAGCTGTGTTATCATTCCTAAGTAGTATGGGGAAAAAACCAGCCACAATTGAAATATTGTCTAACATACTATAAAACTCACTGTGTTATCTGAGTAGTAAAGGCATCATGCAGATATCTAGATACCAATTCCAGTAAATTAGATAGCCTTGTTAGGACCTTGAAAGGGGGCTTGTGTGGAGGTGAAAGAGCTCAGTAAACCATTCAAATAAGAGCACTAGCTTTATAAAACTAGTGGACAAAAAGTGTCAGGTGAGAATATGAGAATTCATAGCCTCTTTTTAAAGATATTCATATGTTGTCATGGGGATCTCAGGGGTGGGTTGTCCTGCTGGAAAGGAAGATTTCTCAGAGGAGTAAGCTTCAGATGAATCCACTTTCATGCCAGTGGTGTTTTACCCTGCTTTCTCAACAGGTAACTGTAACTCTTAGATCTGGGGCTCTCAATCTTTTCCCACTCACTCCACAGTTCACAATCTTTTGTAATTCTAAACCATAACCCCAAGCCACCCACCTGGAGCAAAGTGGGAGGGTGATAGATGCAGGGGACTATTAGGGGGCAGGAGGAAAGGTGCTGCTAAGTGGTGGGAATTCTGAATTTTGCTGGGTGGGGTACAGGCATGTGTGGGTGTTTGGGTAGATGAGGAAAAATACTGATGTTGTACTACTGTGTGGGGAGAAAAGAAGGATGCTGTTGAATGGGGTTTCCCTGGCATTCACACACCTCACTGAGCTGGCACCACCTCCCACTGTTGCTACCACCAGAGACTCAGGCCAGCAAAAGGTTGGGTAGAGAAGATGGGCTGTGTTGGACACCTGGGTCCTGGAGGCACTCAGTGCTCCAGTGTCAGCATTTGCTTCCTCAGCACTTAGCATGGTAACAGGGAAAGGAGAAAAGGAGCTCTTCTGCTGTAAACGTGTGGGCTGCAGTGAAACTGGACTGCAGTAACCATCAGGAGGGAGAGAGAGCTCCTCCCTGCCTACATTTCTCTGGGTCTTAGCAGCCATGTAAGGAAAATTTTGGAAAGCAAGAGAACAATTAAACTCTTGATGTTCACTCTGTGTGATGTCGACTGTAAGCTACAAAACTAACAGGAACTTCAAGACAATCTATAGTATACTATTGGTGTTAAAAATTCTACTATTCACATGGGCTATTTGTCATTCTTGCTTGTTAAAGGGTGAACTAAAAGAACAATCTTGTCTGCTCAGAAATGTGATAGGAGCCATTCAGAAAAAGACAATCTTTTTCATCAACTTTAGACACTTTATCTAAAACGGTTATACTCAAAGAATAGAGGCATTCTTCCAAAATTGATTTTATTCATTTTGGCTTTAAAATAATATCAAGAAAGTGGTTTTACACAATTCTTAATAGCACAGTTAAATCATAGCCCACAGATTCAAACTAGTTAAAATATTAAAAACAAAGTATTTGTGTTTGTAAAGTATCAGCAGATGATAAAACTAAATTTCTGTACCAGAAAATTTTATTTGAAATAATATTGTTTCAACACTTCAAACTGAATTTAGATGCACTGCATTGTAGGTGCAAACCATAGGTTTTAAATGGAAAGATTACAATATCTTTGATTCATATACAGCTTGTTTTTTTGGTGGCACAATAAATGAAGCAATCTTTTTACTTTTTAAAATCACAAAATAATTATTCATCATTTTATTTAATTACAGTTTTTATCTACAAATGGAAAATCTCAAAGTACATTTCAAATAGGGTTACCATATTTCAAGTTCCCAAATAGAGGACACTGCCAGGGGGAAGGGAGAGCTGGATGGGGAGCGGAGTAGTTTCTTTCTACTTTGAATATCTAACATTTATAAATAACAAGTGTAATGTCCTCAAAATGTCTTGAAAAAGGACAAGCAAGGAAAAATCATGGGCATTTGTTCATATTTCAAAAATCTGCCAGGACAGAGTCTAGAAGACCAAAAAGAGGTTGTGTCTGGGAAAACTGAAATGTATGGCAACCCTAATTTCAAATGTACCTCAACTCTTTTTTATCAATGACAAAATCAAATTACAATAAAAATACTTGCCTTCTCTTCATTAGAAAGTTAGCTCTATATATTCTTGTACAATTTTATGGTTCTATATAACAGGTGCAATATATTCCTATTAATCATCAATCATGAAATACCTGCTATGTCATCTACAATCTCTGTGTATGTTCTACGAGCTATATCAAGGAATTCATTGATGTTTGGCCTGACTGCATAGCACTTCTGGGTCCTCATATTCAGGCATCCTTTTGTGTATCTTGTATCATCATTAATGACAGTTTTTATCTTTTCAAGTATGATTCCAAACCTACAAACAGTAGTTATATCAGTAATGGAATTGGCTAGGTAATATTTTTCAACTTCATCATCAACATTATCTTCAATTATAAATAAAAATTACCGAAGCCAATACACTTCAATAGTTCAAAGTAAACACTAAAAACTTACCACGCGATTTTTTTTTAATCTCAAACAACATATGAACACAACTAACTTTAACCTAAATATTTTAATATCTTAAAGAATGGCAGACATTGCACACTGCTCAAATATAAGAAACAGCTACTTGTCCTCAGTCATTTTGGGTGATTCTAAGAAATCGAAGTATTCTCACATTCTTTTTGTCTTTTCAATAATATCTACTGGAGTATTTAATTTTTGTAAGAATTTAAATTATGTTTGTCATTCATAACCAATCAACTATTGTTAAAACCAATTTTCTGTTTATCTTTTTTAAAATTTCTCCTGCAATAGTTGAAAAACTGAATTTCTAGAAACTTCGTAAAGAATAAGTAAAATTAAGAGTTTCTAATGATAACAGAAAAAACAGGAGTTATAACTATAAATAATTCAAGAAGCAACATCTTAAAATCCTACAGACATCCTCAGAAAAAAGGAGACAACCAGATATTCTAGCTATGAAAATATCACAGTACCTTTTGTCTTCCAGAGAACTGTAATATGCCTTTAACAGATGAGTCTTGCAGCTTTTCAAAGCAGCCTATTGAAAATTAAAATATAATTACTTAATCATAAAAACATTATTAAATTTTAATCATTTTAACAGTCTGTATGGCTTTTAGATTCACCTAGGCTTATTTGAAGTTGGGGTGATATAAAGAGCTTACCAGTTGGGTGGCATCTATTTAAGTTAAATAATCGTTATAAAATTAAGCTTTTAACTAGCATTCAGAATCCAGTTCCAAAAGTAATAGAGACTCAAATATGTTTTTTTAAATCAACATCAAACTTAGCATAGATTTAGAGGCCCTTGTCTTATTTTTAGAGGAAATTATTACAGTGACAATGTACGGTTCCATGAGATATAAAGTAAATATAATGAACTGCACTGTGTGACAACAAAGATTAACTAACTAGTTTGGATTTTATATAGAAAAAGTAACAGAATACATTTCACCTTTAGAGGATCCACAAGTTCCAGAGTATGTTTCAGATAGATTAAATTAGTTATCTTTGATTCAGCAGCTTTAACCTGTTGAAAAAAAATATTACAAATGCAGTATGTATAGATTTTTAAAATACATTTCAAAACAAGCATGCATTTTACACACATATTCTGAATGTATTTTTCATGTACTATTAAGTGATTTATGAAAATTCATGACTAATGACCAGCTTGACAATTTGTAAATTTGCTGTTTTGTAAAAAAAATAAATATTTGACTATGTATGGCTTGAGAAAACTCAAATTACAATACAGTATTTTCAAAAGAGTTCTTCAACTGACAAGAATTCTAAAATATTTGTGTTTTCTTGCAGAGAACAGAACATTTGCTATGTGCTGCTGCCTTATAAAGAAAGAATAGGTAGCAGTTCCATAAGAAAAAAAACCATCTAATTTTTGTGTGGAGAGTTGAAATCAATGTTGGAAAATCAAAGGCTTCTGAAAATGAAACTGAAGAAAACTTTAGAGTTGAAAAATGGAAAAATCTTATGTAGAAGCTAAGGCAGATTTTCAAAAGCACAAATGAAAATCTTTCCTGTTATCTGTTTTAAAGTCAAATTAATAGAAAATATAAATAAAAGTGAAGGCTCCTGTGTGGGAAATATTAAACGGTATTTTTCTTTCAATTTTATGAAAAATTCAATTACACATAAAAATCTACTAAAAAGTCTTAGTTTATTTTAAAAATAATTATGCTACAAATTGTTGGAACAGAAACACCCTCACTCACCCAATTTCTAATGTTCTCACAATCCAAGAATTTTTCTTCAACCATTTTTTTCTAAAAATTCTGAAGTTTCTTAAAGAAAAATGTGCTCACAGAACTCAGCTAAGTCCCTTTATATGTTGCTGAATTTTCTTCTCAGAATGAAGCTTGGCAATCAGCCCAGATGGTGTCTTAGTGCAAAGGAAGTATCAGGGTGGACATTTACAGACATATTCCTTAAGATGGAGCAATTTGATTGCTTTGGGTCACCTTAGCAAGGAGAAAGCAAGCGAGGGTAGCTGTTCCAATAACCATAGCAAGTTTCTGCCAAAATCCCCCCCATATACACACATTACCAATTACAACTCCAGGAACTTCAGTGTGTCTTGCTTTTAAGGAGAAAAAAAGTATCATTCAAAAGTTTGTTATTCTATACCTGTTAGTAACATTATAACATGGTGTTTTAATTTATTTTTTAACATTTTAAAATAGGCACATGGATGAGAGTACAAAGAAAGATTTCTTTACTTTCTAATTTCTTTTTTGTCTAAACTAGCATCCAGAAACACGAAGAAAAATTGTGATGAACTGGCTGTATTTTAAGTATACTGAATCAGAATAGTTTTTATTAACAATGAAGTCTAGGCAGCTGTATTGTTACTAAAGCACTTTCCTGACATACTTTTTTGCACCAGCTGGATGCACTTAGTCATTGGTTAGTAATGTTTTGCAGTTTGCAAATAACTGAAGTGATAACAGCCTGTTCTGAGATGAGCTAGTTGAAGCTGTCGAGGTCGCTGCTGAAGTCCAGGGTTCAAATCTTGCTGTTGATGCATTGGGGCTGGGGGCAAGGAACAGATTTTTTTTTTATTACATTTAAAACAAATTGGGGTGACAGAATCTGGCCTAAAAATTACCTTGATTTGAGATGTTGACTTGTATTTAAATATTCTCTGTATCCCTCTATTTCTAAAACAGCTTGCTACATACGGCAGGTTCAAATTTTCAAAATATTTTAATCCCCTTGAAAATTTGTGCATGTACTATATTTGAAGAAAATGAGCTGTAATAAAACAAACGTTAACAATTGCTGCATCTAATTGTACTCTCTCTGTTATGTTTCAGAGTAACAGCCGTGTTAGTCTGTATTCGCAAAAAGAAAAGGAGTACTTGTGGCACCTTAGAGACTAACCAATTTATTTGAGCATGAGCTTTCGTGAGCTACAGCTCACTAATAATTTGTACCCTGATGGCTGCTGAGAAAGAACTTATTTCATAGTTGTAAGAGACTTTCTCTTGGCTTAACCATGAAGGCTTGTGTTTTGAAGCTAAAAGGAATAAGATTCTAAGTTCTAGCTTGACAGGTTTTGAAGGTTTATTTAGTAACTGAAACTAAACGAAAGAGGTTTGTTTTTTAGTAAAAATTTGGGGGTCCATTTATAAGGGATAATCTCCACTGCTTTATATTGCATAAGAAGCTCCTGAGGCTAGATAATAGACAAAGCAAAGTTAAGTGGGCAAACTGTGAGTATATTACAAAAAGGAGATTATTTCTATTATACAGCTTTTAACATTAAAAGGTATATTTTCCCTTTCATGCTCATATGAAAATGCTTCTCTCTCCTACTCTCCAGTGATGTTAAGAAGAAGGTGTGATTAGGATGAATAAGTAAGAGGATGCAGATTTAAAAGTACAGTGGATTTGTGAAGGAACAACAGTCATGTTTTTTGGTCATTCTCCACAAGGGTCACAGGGCTAGCGTCCTCCCTAAGTCCATAACAGGTTGAGTTTGTTAACCTTGCTGCTTTGCCCACCTTTTCTCCCTCACTTGTGAAGAAATGAATGTTGGATTAGACTGGGTGTGGGAAATTGTGGACTGTGTGAGATCAATTCACATCAGTCATGCATTTTGTTGCTGTGTATTTGAGCTGATCTGGGGGAACCAACAGGCCTGTTTCAGTGTATTTTTAAAATATTGTCAAGGATGCCTAGAGCATTAGATGGGTGCTCTTTTATTACTCTCTGCATAAATCTAAATAAATAAATGAAAACACTTTATGATTGGCTGAAATTCTTCTCCTGTTATGAAGTAAAAATATGCCTTAGTTTAAGGGGTCCATACATTCATCTTTCTGGGTGAGATGCAACATATATAAATCATTGTATATCTTTAAAACTATGTTTCCATCCCTTTCTAATATACAATCTTTTTTTACAAATAATACAATTGTACAGCTGCTATAGGAAGTTTACATGTTGCATACTCTACTGAGATAACTGACAATTATTCATTATTTATGAGATAGGTGCATTTATAAACCTACTGTATCTTGCTTTGGAATTTGTACTAAAATTGAAAGAAGTTGTTCAGTATCCAGGAATCTTGAAATCACTGTAAAACAACATTAAACACAAATTAGAAACTGAGCTGAAACTTGCGATAATTTTAATAATAAATATTTAACAAATAAGTGATTTAATTTTCCAAAAGAAAACAGGCACAGAAAACTATTTAGTACCTCTGTTTGTGAAGTCATTTTCTTCCCTCACCCTATCACAGCAAAATCTTGACAAAGTACTGTAGCTTCAATTACCAGAAAGAAAACAGACAAAAGAACTACCAATCTAACAAGATTCTTATGTCACATCCATAACCATGGTATCTGAGCAATTTTGGTCATTATATCATGATGGATATAATGACATCAGCTCTCTCGTATTCTCTTCAATAAAGAAACTCTCAGAGCTTAAACAACCTAAAAGATATTGAACAATAAGAACATTAGGATCCCCACAACAGGGTAGGAGGGCTGAAATATGAATGAAGGAAGAGTGGGAGACTATAACAAATGGTATTGTCAGTAGACTACTGTCCCTTGTCAAATGTCTCTACTTCCTATCTTATAACAGAAAATATGTCAGACTGCAGATGTAGCAAGCAGTCCTCAAGAGCAAACGGGCTTTCTTAAAAATCACAGCAATATTCTCTGTTTGAAAATTCCCATCCAATTATGACAGTGAAAAGATGACTATGTATCTGCCCTGCAATTTCACAAGTAGTAACCTGAGCCTGTGGTGGAATGACCTTATCAGAAGGAAGCCCGACAGAATATAGCACTAACTCTGCAACTACAAGAGCTCAAGACTGGTGGGCACTACTGAACTATTGAAGAGGCAGCAGACTCCCATGCATCTTGCAGAGGAAAGATCCCCAAATCTAATAAAAGCCCTGGTGTGTGGCAGTGCCTTAGTATAGCACTGATTGTTGAAGAGCTACACATATGGTCAACCCTCCTGTATGGATACGAGAGCTGGTCATTTAGAAAGCAGTCTGAGACACGACTCACAGCGTTCAAGTTTTGGTGTTACAGAAGGTAAAAATTAGCTGGATAACCTAAATTATGAATGATCAGGGGATGAAAAGGAACAATTTAAAAACAGCAAAATCACTTAATATCATAGGTAAGAAAATAAAATCTTTCTGTGGACAAATTGCTCACCAATCACCAGAGCAACTTGATTCCAACTCTTATACTATCAGGCAAGAGGAGGAAAGAGAGCCAGCTATGTTGGAAACATCACCGGATGGACTGGTATCCAAAGGAAACTAGAAGTTTTACAACTCTGTTGTGACTGTGAAAGATGGAAGGTGAAGATTGAGAACTTCCATATTAGCAATGTCATGGAAGAATACAACTGAGGAATTAGCCTCTGCTTTCAAGGAGATAATGTACTTGACCTTTTCTCAGGTAGTACCCTAGCTCCTGCTCTAGTTCACACCTGATCTTGAGGGCAAAGAATGAGAGATCACAATGGGAGATCTACATTTCTGGCAAGAACCAGAGTGAAAATTTTTACAAATCATAAGGACCATCACCCACATCAGAACTATTCCAACAGTCACAAAGAAAATAATGTCAAATATCAGAGGGGTGTCAGCCATGTTAGTCTGGATCTGTAAAAGCAGCAAAGAGTCCTGTGGCACCTTATAGACTAACAGACGTATTGGAGCATAAGTTTTTGTGGTGAATACCCACTTCGTTGGATGCATCTGGTGAATTGGGTATTCACCCACGAAAGCTTATGCTCCAATATGTCTGTTAGTCTATAAGGTGTCACAGGACTCTTTGCCGCTTTTAAAGAAAATAATGAGAGCTGTATGGTTCATACATTTTAAGACCAGAAGGAACCACTATAATCTAACTTCCTACACAACACAGGTTATAGAGCCTCATCCAGTAATTTCTGCATCAAACCTATAACTTCTGTTTGTGCAACAGCATACCTTTTAGAAAGATATCAAATCTTAAGACTCCAATTGATGGAGAATCCACTATATCCCTAGATAAGTTGTTCCAATAGTTAATTACCCTTACTGTTAAAACTTTTCTACGCCTTTTTTCTGCTAGATTAAAGAGCTGTCTACCATCATGTACATATTGGAAACTGTAATGTGCCTTTCCCATGTACATATTGGAAACTGTAATGAAATCACCTCTTAAACTTCCCTTAGATAAACTAAATAGATTGAGCTTCTTCAGTCTCTCACTAGAAGGCTTGTTTTCCAGTCTGAAATCTTTCTTGTAGTTCTCTTCTCTGAACCCTTTCCAATTTTTCCAAAATCCTTTTTGAAGTGGAGACACAAAAACTTGATGCAGTATTCCAGTAATGGTCTCACTAATGCTGTACACAGACATAATACCAACTCCCTACTCCTACTCGATATTCCCCTGGTTATGTATCCAAGGATCATGTTCACCCTCTTAGCTACAGCATTACAGAGGAAGCTCATGGTCAAAAGGTTATCTGCATTCAAGTCCTTTTCAGGATTGCTGCATTCCAGAATAGTGTGACCTACATTCTTTGTTCGTAGATGTATGATCTTACTTTTGGCTGTATTAAAATGCATATTGTTCACCTTATTAAATGATCCATGATTGTCTGTATAATTTACCTGTCCCCATCATTATTTATCACTCCACCAATTTGAGTGTCATCTGTAAATATTAATCCATTTAACATGGGCTACATATAGTGCAAATTCTGAAAAAATCAGAATGCATGCTAGAGTCTAAGTATATTATGCCAACACAGAAAAATTTATCAAACTTGTGATCTCTTCAAAAAAATAAGAAATTTGTTTGTCAAGACCTATTTTCCATAAAACCATGCTGACTGGCATTAATTACGCTAACATCCTTTAATTCTTCACTGATTGCATTCCATATCAGCCTTTCCATGATTTTGCCAGGATAGAGGCCCATAGTTATCTGGGTCATCCCATTTACCCTCTTTAAATACTGAAATATTTGTAAATGGTGGCTTTTTTCCAATCCTCTGGAACTTCCCCATGTTCTCAGATTTGTTAAAAATCAACACTAATGATTCTGAGAGTTCCTTGTCCTATTCTTTTAATAGAAAGAAAGCAGCTGCACCTCATAAGTTAGAGAGCTGATCACTAACAAGACCAAGAGACAATGTTTGACAAGTAGTCTTGTGGGGAAGCATATATTATAGTCCACCTCTCCTACCTATCTCACTACCTTTGAGCTACAAGTGCCAAAACACAGTCTCCTCTGCTGCATCTTCACGGGCATATTTCTGATCTATTGAAATGGGGTGGGTGAGTGGGGATGAAGTTAAAACTGGTGAAATACACTCCATGTTTCCAGGGGAAAGGAAGCAAAAATACTAAGGACAAAGTGGGTGGGCCGGTGTTTTTATATCAACTGTGATTGACATACACCTTTTGCCTCCTTACTTCTTGACAGGTGGGATATAAATGTCAAAATATTTTCTATGATGGGATGGAGATAGAGAAAGAATGAGAAATGCCAAGTCACTGTTTTAGGTAGTTGTGATGCAGTAACTATTTCCAAACATTTTATTTTAAAAATGTGTATTTGAAATATTTAAGCTGTAAAAATAAAGGATAAACATAGTATCTGAGCCACTCTGATGATCTGCAAAATATGGTGGTATTTATGTATTCACATCTGCTCCGCTAGTATAATATCAAGCTAAAAGAGGGTAGCTCAACAGACTACATGTCATCCATTTTTGTGTTGTGAAAGCCTTGGAAAGAGTTCCTGATCTGACCAAAAGTGATTACTCATTTTCCCCAAAAAACACAATAAGCCGTCCAAAACCAGGAAATAAAGATTTAGCGAATTTAATGTCAAGCTTAGCTGGACTAACTAACTTGTGCTCTTTAGCAGCGTATGTATATTCATCTGTCTTGTTACCTGTATCTTAGCAATCAAAAATGAGAAGCTGCATATTCATAACAGTATGCAAATTACATTTCAGATGTTAGTAGTGTATATCTGGAAAGCCTGGCTCGAACACAAAATGCAGTTGGTTAAAGAGCTAGTGAGACCAATTCAAAATTCCTCTAAAGCACCATTTGCTGGTCCACCTCATTTACTAAAAATTTTAGCAAAATGATCAAAAAAGAGGTAAAAAGTCAAATTAAATAATGACAGATTAAGAACTATTGCTAGAAATCATAACATTTTTTAAATCCACTATGAAATGTAACTTCACAAGTCAAAACATGTTTCATATCTATTTTATTAATACATGCTATGAGTTTTCAGCTCTTATAAAAACAAAAATATTTAAATGGGTATTTTTAAGTGTTTTAAAAATAAAACAAGCTATTACCTGCCTGAAGACTAAAAAAGAGCTCCTCATCCTGTAGTAGTTCCTGAATACAATCCAATCTTGTGTTAATTGTTTCAGCATCAACCAGAGGCTCCAGGATATTAGACCTAAGTCTTCGGCTTCCACCTGGAGTTTTAGTATAATTTAGAACGCCAAAAAGAGTGTGACCATTCCTTTGAAAATAACACAAATTTAAAAAAACAAAAACTCAAAAAAATCAAGCTGATACAAATCAAATGAAATTTTCAGATTAAATTAGCGTACAATTGACAGCTTGATTATCAGAAGCACACATAAATTCCCCTGAACTCCATGTGAGCTTTAGGACCTCAGACCGAAAATGAGGCTATGAGTAAGGCTACATTTTAGTCACGGATATTTTTAATAAAAGTCACGGACAGGTCATGGGCAGTAAACAAAAATTCACGACCCATGACCTGTCCATAACTTTTACTAAAATTATCAGTCAATAAAACTTGGGTGGGGGGATTGCCTGGGACCACTAGTGGTGCAGGGGGGGCGCAGGAGTTGGCGCGCTGTCCAGGACCTCCATTGGTGCTGGGGTGGGCAGGGCTGGAAGGCTCCCTACCTGGCTCAACACCTTCTCCGCCCCCGAGCAGCAGCAGAGTTTGGGTGTGGGAGGGGGCAGGAAGTTGGGGCACAGGATGGGTTGAGGCGGGCTCTGGGTGGCACTTACCCACTTCTGGACTCCCCAGAACAACATCCCCCTTGCTCAGCTGCTAGGTAGAGGCATGGCCACACATAACTTGTGTGTCAGTTATATAGGTCAAACCTGCTGACAGCAGGTTCATTTGTGACAGACACACTATACACCTTTACACAATTCTTATCTTTTTGCTCTTTCTTTCTAATCCCTTTCATTACTAGGGGTATCCTGATGCACATAAAAAAATTCCAGGCTAGGACTACAAATTTTGTGCTAAGTTAAAGTTCATTTCTCTTTTCAAATTATTTAAAAATCAGCTTTATATATGCTATAATTGCTGTCAGGATAGAGCCAAATTAACTCTTTGTTTCTGACTAGACAGATTAGATACATGTGCCATAGAATTTGGTGCATTATAAATTTATAAGAATGCAAAAAAACTGAATTTGTAAAAACAAAATAATCTTACCGAGAATCTCTATTGTTAGTTAACAATTCAAGATTTTGGGCTGATGATGAATCTATCATAGCAGTTTGCTCACTTCCCTGGAAACGAACCTTGAGTGACTTAGGAGCATAAACTGAATTTTGAATAAATTCAACATATTTTAGCAAAGCTGCAACAGCTGCTAGACAGTAATACCTGTAAAGTAGAATCATTTATTGAACATTAAATATTTCTCCTCATCAAGCGCAAAAACATTTACTGTACTTAGGGAGAAGGTTTTTCTTAGCAATCTTATGCCAAGCTGTAGAGTCATGTTCACACATATTAGGGATTGGGAGCAACCCTTCCCATTATGCAGAAGCCAGAGGCAATGCTTGGTGGAGCACATAGAGTCACATGCGCCCCCAGATTTTTCCCAGGGTTTGCTGGCCCTGCTCGGTCAAATCGTGCCACTGGGCTCCTGCCCTGCACAGCAGCTGTTGGAGCAGACAAGCTGGGAACTTCAGCCATGGGGAGAGGCAGCAGCAAACAGCTGGGAGCTGCAGGGGGGGTCACTGATGGTAAGAAGAGGGGCGTGACAAACTGTTGGGGGGGTGAACCTTTAAATTGTGCCCTCCCACTCTCAACAGATACCAGTTGTCTTGGGCAGAAACCTCTAGCCCCACCACCCTACCGCAAGGCAGAAGCCCCACGCTCTGGTAGGCAGAGAACAGGGTGGAGTGGGGGGCTCCACAAGCCACACTTTAACTGTAAAAGAGTCACATGTGTTTCGCGAGCCAGGGTTTGGCCACCCCTAGTATAAACAGTGTGATCAGGGCCCAGATTTTCAGTAGTGCAGGTCCACTTTTGTATGGGCCAATCAAGTGTTCAAACATGCATGTGTCTGTGCATGCATATGATCTTGCCTTGCACATATTGGATATTGTGCATGTGTAAGTCTGGCAGTGCAATTTCAGAAATACATTACTGAAGTATGGGTCCAGGTGACCAAGTTTTTAGTGTTGCTCTCTAGTGACTTCCTCTAGCAAATACAAGCTGACAAGCTCTTAAAGAAAGATTGATGCCAGGGTCTCTAAATGGTGGGTCATCAGGGCTCCAAGAGGCACTTGACAATTGATGTATCATTGGTAATGGATGTATCAGAAATGTTTGAGTGAAAAATAAAAAGGTAACTACATTTACAGATTTTAAATTTCAGGGATGTGTGTACCAATTAATGAGAAGCCACTGACCAGTGTATTAAATCTGTACAAACTGTTAAAATCTTTTATCTGGAGACACTACTTCTTTTTCTTACTTAGGTTAAACGTACTTGGACTGAACCTCCATTAGGACAGTGCTGAATTCAGATGTACACAACTGTTCTATATATTCCAAGCCCTTTGTTTCATTGAAGTATTTTCTTTGGACAGTAGTAAAAGTCACGTTCTAATAAAAACAAAACCAAAAACAGCAAAGGTTTCAAAATCTCATGGAAAGAAACTGGAGTGTTGTGATGATTTGGGGAATCTCTCTATGTAAAAATGTGACACAGAGGCCCTTTGGCAGCTCACAACTCTGGGTCAGCAACTCTTGTCGGGCCTGACATACTCAGTGTACCCCCACTCATCACTATCATGATCTGTATCTGGAAGGTGTCATGTAGGATATCATGAGCAAATTGGTGACACACTGGTCCTGAAGCTCATTGCGTGGTGTATGTACAGAGTGTGTACAAACAGTTATAGACGTGTGCTGGAATTCTGTTCTTAAAATGTGTTTGGCAACCAGTGCATGGACCCAGTTTGCCTTGGACAGGGGAGCGTATGTTTGCTTTTCTGACTGGTCTGGTCATCAGGCAGGGATGATGAAGCTGCACTTACACAGAAGGTAAACAAAACCATCAAATGGGTGAGTGCGAGAGATAGCCTCTTAACTATCATGACGGGAGAACACGAAACTGCAAAAATTAACATGGCATCAGCTCCCCGCTGGATACAGCAGGCTGAGCCCCCAAGAGGGCTTCCTGCTTACTGAGCGAGGTCATTGAACTTTAGAAGATATAAGCAAAGATAAGAAGCTATTTTTGCATCCATCACTTAAGGGACGAAAGGGGCCAGAGCTCTTGAAATCACAGAAGGTTGGATCCTTGAACTCAGGGGACTGATATTTCTGGGAACTCTCCAGAATGGTGAGGAACCTGAGGCAAGGAAATGTGTATACACATGTTTATTATTTTATCTAGATCGATGTATTTCTCATTCTATTAAGTAAAGAGCAATACTATTTTAGAATCCTGTGAAAGTCTGTCTATGTGTCTGTTGGCTTTCACTATTGCATGTCCCTGAAGAGGCAAACTGTAAGCCAGAAGGCTCACATCTTTAGAAATGTGCAAGAGCTTCTGGGGAGGCTTGCAGGAGATGACGTTACTTTCAGGGCATAGGCAGTTGGGCTGTGGGGTCACCACTGCCAAAAGAGGTGTCAGACACAAGGTTACACCTGGAGTGTGCGCATAGAGGCCAAAAGCCAGGAACACTGCCTAAACTCTGCCCAGCCCCAGCAAGCTAAGGGATTAAGCGATTGGATCCCCTCGTAAAGACGGTCACAAATCTGTAACCATATAAAACCAATCAAATAGGAGCCCTATAAAAACTAAATGAAGTCTAAAAAAAGATTACCTTGAAATTTTCTGTTATCAAACTGAACAATTTTGTTGTATTCCCTGTATCACAAGCAGTATTTGACATTATTATTTCTAATGGTGTTAAAATCTTGAGTTTTGTGATAACCTAAAAACAAATTTAAAACATAATTTCATTAAAAATCATTTAGCCATCTCAAAGTACATTTTCACAAATAAATAAAATAGTCCAGAAATAACTGACAAATTCTATAATCTTTGTAAACACTTTTAAATCAATTAAAAATTCCACTTAAAGGAATGTGCACGCACAACAACCAGGCAGACATCATTTATTCCCAGTCAGGGCCAGAAACAGTAAGGTTTTTAATGGCTTTTTTACTTCCTGAGCTTTGAGCACTGGTAACAGGTGAGAATAAATGATCAGGAACTTTCTGGTGGCCAGATAATGAGGTAAGTGTAGTACAGAAAGCAATAAGGTAAATATAATACAAAAAGAGAGGATTTAGTTACACCCATTGCATCAGGCTCCAAAGATGGCAGTTGAACATATGATATTATTTATAGCATGTAGAAATCTGTTAAGTTTCTTTCCTCCCTCTCCTTCCCTTTTATGCACTCTTGTCTCTCCAACTGCTGCATACAAAAGGTAATAAAGAAATAGCCTGCAGTAATAATTTTCAAAACAGAAGAATGAACTGTCTACAGATATCACTCACTAGTATAAAACAGAAAAAATAGTTACAAAAATACCTACAATTAAAGTAAAAGATTTGGAGAATAATTTATCTCATGTCATGAATATATGAAAAACAGATATGATGAAAAACCCCTGCAAAAAAGAATGTTATGCCTAACATGGCATTCCATGACTGTGAGTGAGAAAGTACCTTTTCAATCAGAAATAACTTTCTGGGTTTGCAGCTGCAGAAGTTCATGGTGCTCCTGAAGGTCATGAGCTGCAGACTCACTTGGACTGGATAAGGCTCTTTGGAGTAGGTCATATTTTAGACCTTGTTGTAACTTCTTATGGATACATGTGCATGCTACAGTCTAACCTGCATTGTTTCTCTGTTTTGGTGGCTCAAAAGATACACATTTAAACCAGCTTTTCCTTTTCACATGAGATACTCATTGTGACAGGGTGTACCCCATGTTTGATGCCCTCCCACCTTGGCTAATCCTGCCCCAACCAGGTTTCCTTCTGGTGGAAAAGAGCAGTGAGTTTAGATACTCCACTAGCTGCCAAGAGAGTCCACCAGGTTCAGCAGCTGGCAGAACCAACAAGAATTGGTCCTCCAGCAGCTAAAAGGATCAGGAGCAGAAAGTCAAACAGCACAACAGACAAGGTAAAAAGGACTGTCTGCTTCCTCTGGGGAAAGGAGCCAGTTCTGAAGCTGAAAGAGGAGAGGAAGGATGTCCCGACTTGACCCAGGAGCCTAACTTTGATTTAAAGTACAACTGAATTTTGCTACTAGTTTCTTATCTAGGAAAGGATTAACACCTACATATACCGAACAAGATCAATTATTATGTATTGTTTCTATTTGTATTATTTGCAGTAGTGCTCAAAGGCCCCAAATTAGATTTGGGCCCCAGTATATAGGTGATAAGGTGCTGTACAAACAAATAGAAAGACATAATCCCTGTCTAAAATCTCTTACAATCTAAGACAAAATGCAACTAGTATCACAAACAACTGAAGTGGTAGGGCTGTGAGACACACAATGGGAGTAACTATAATAAATTCATGAGCTACATGGACTTAATAGTTCTGAAGCACCTAAAATATTTTTGTTTGGGCTGTGGCTACCTAACCTATCCATCATTAGCGTCTTAGTTTTTTGGTGGCATTACAGCAGATATAAGCCCTAAGGAGGGATTTGTAGGAGGAGAAGATAGTGGCCTTAACATATTAATTCAGGGATGGTGTTCCATGCATAAGGGGTGGCATGTAAGAAAGTGCAACAATGATTGAAGCCAATATCATTGGCAAAGCAGAGGTCACAACACAATAAGAGACAAGTATGGATAACAGAGGGGCATTGTAGTGAAGGGCATTGAAGACAATGGGGCCAGAAAAAGGGAAGTAGATGGAGGGGTAAAGTCAGAGTGAGAGGTAAAGGGAGATGATCTTAGTAGATGTATTCTGTAGGGACTGAAGGGTGAATGTACTTTCAGAGAAGCCAGCAAAAAGATTTTGCAGTGTGTACAGTATGAAAAAGGGCAGATTTTAGAAACATTAGAGCAAAATGCAGCAAGAGTTGCACACAGCTTGATGTGGGAGCATGAGAAAGGAAAGAATCAAAGACAATTCAGATTATGTTTGAGTGACAAGGAAGATAGTGATGTCAACAGTCAAGGAAAATTCAGGAAGGACTTGAAAGGAAAGGAGTTCCATTTTTATCATGTTAATTCTAAAATGAAGGGAGACAATTAAGAGGGGATGTCAGATTGATAGAGAGACTGAAATACAGGATTGCATGGATGGAGACAAATCAAAATTAGAAAGGTAACTTTGAGGATCAAGGCCAAGGACAGGGTCACAGTGGAACCCCAAAGGACAGTGGGAAAAGGGAGGAGAAAAAATCTAGACACAAATAAATACACTATTAACTGAAGAGAAAACTCACTTGCTATCATGAGTCGACAGAATCTTTTAAGAGGAACAGCTTCAAAAATGAGTATCTAGTGTCCACAAAAGCCAGCATAAATGATGTTACTGTTTGCATCGGGGGTCTCAAACTCAAATGACCACGAGGGCCACATGAGGACTAGTACATTGGCCCGAGGGCCGCACCACTGACCACCCCCGCCACTGCCCCGGCCCCTCTCCCACTCCATCCCGCCCCTGCCTCACAGGGGGCTCAGGGCAGGGGGTTGGGGTGCAGGGTGCGGCAGGGGTTCGGCTGCAGGAGGGGTTTGGGAGGTCAGGTCCGGCCCAGTGCAAACCAGGGACAGGGCAAGCTCCCTCCCTGCCTTGCCCCCGCACTGCTCCAGAAAGCGGCTGGGACCTGGGGGAGAGGGGGCACAGGAGACTGTGTGTTGCCCTGGCCGCACCTCCAAGTACCTCCCCCTAAGCTCCCATTGGCCGGGAACGGAGCCACTCTAGGTAAATGCTGGGGGGGTGGGAGGGGCCGCGGGGAGCTGGCGAGCCACAGAAAATAACCCCACGGGCCAATTGTTTGAGACCCCTGGTTTACATTAACAATGCTACTTTAGTTTTTTTATTACTCTTGGTATGAACAAACTGCAGTTGTCAATCAGGAATTTCCTGCTATTATTTATAAAAACTTCAAACAAAAAAGGATATCTATAATAATCTTCTTCATTATGTAAATACAACCATATACAGCAACCAAAAGTATTAAAATTACCTTAGCATAGGTTGTATTGTCCGCAAATTGGGATAATACCACTTCGGGGTTTTTTAAGTCAATACTAGCCATTCCTACTTCACCTCTGGCAAGTCCTCTCCCTTCTACTACAGCTACAATAACGGATGCAACTAAATGAGCAGAGACAGCAGATGAGGATGTAACTGTAAAACAGTAGTATACATTTATAGTTATGACCCAGTTCATGATAGAGAGTGAACAATGTATGTACTTATATCCCCCACTCACAAAGAAGCAAAAGTCTAGCAATTATCCAAATTTACTTAAAAATTCAAAGTACAAGTTGCTGAATTCTACATTTGATGTACTATGCAGAGAATGACCCATATTTTCAATTATTTGAACACCACGTAATATGTGAAAAAATAAGAACAGAGCACATGTACACAAATAGGGGGTGAACACAAGGAATGACATTGTTAAAGGTGCAAATATGTGTAGAAAATACAGTGCATGAGCACTATTTCTGTATTATGAAAAACAGGTGAAGAATAGAAGGGCTATTATGATCATTAAGCATATGTAATTTTAAATACAAAACTGAGGGCAGCTATTATTGATGGACAAATTTAGACAAATTAAAATATAGAGAGACATTGAAATTGAAGGTAGTTTTCTATTAAAAGCGTACTTCTGATGAGGTGTCCCTAATTTTGTCAAATACCAAACCAACCTTTCTGAAATTTCATAGCTGATCTTATGCTAAGAGAGAAATTTTCTGATGTTTGTGGAAAATCAAACAATGCATTTGAGACAAATGATGTAGGTTTCACTTTTGCCTAAGCAATCTGGCTTAGAAAGTCCATGTTTTAATCTCTTGGAGTTGGTGAGGAACAATTAGTGAATGTGGTTAATACATTAGGAACTGTACAGAGCTCCATATATATGCGCAGCACATATAAGTGTTTACAAACTCCATCAGGAGGAAACATCCAAAAGCACATAGAAGTTTTGAGGAAGTAGGAGTGGTGTTCTAGATGACACATTGTTTAGAGAGACAAGCACAGGGCTAAAAAGTCAGAAAAGCCTATCCTGTTCCTACATCTGCTGAGGACTTACTCTTCTTTCCACTTATATAGAACTTCACAAACATGATTTGACTACGTGACAGATTTATGTTACCAATCTGCCAGCGGTGTCAGGTGATGAGGCTGAGGCCGCAGGATCTTTAGGGGAGGAGATGAAGAGCACACCAAATGTCTGAATTTTAAAGCTTTATTAATAAAATAACAGCAGAGGGTGTTAGGGGCGAGGTGGCTCCCCACGTCACTCAAAGGAAGAAAGAAAGCATTAGTGCCCCAAGCCCAAGCCCTAACCCACTTTCATACTCACACCCGCACTACCCTAGGCTGTCCAAGCCTGGGAGTAACGTAAGAAGAAGAGGGGGAAGGGTGGACAGGAGTTCTTGTCCTGTGCACAGGTCGTCCAGGGTCCGCTGTTGATCTCCAATTTGCCTCAGCTCTCAGGAGGGTTTTTAAGTCCCTGAGGTCTCTTGGGGGAGTCTCCTTCCAGGACCTTTGTTCCCCAAGCTCTGTGTACCAGTCCAAGCCGGCCTTCTGTGGCTTCTTCAGCTTTCCCAACACACACCGGTTTCAGGGCTGTGAGACTGTTATGTTTTTCCCTTGTTGGCCTTCGCCAGCTCGCTCCTTTTCGCGGCCCCTGTGATTTCGTTCAACAACTCTCCTTTCTCATGGCTGGTCGGGGGGGTGGCGGGTGGACTCTCCCCCTTCTGTCTTGGCAGGTAGCAGAGTGGCCTTCAGCTGGAGTCAGCTCCTTATCTTCGGGTTTAGCTGGGACATCAAGTTAACCCGTACTTTTCTTCTTTCCTCCCACTTTGGCCTCTCGCAGTCTGCAAAGAAATCTTCCACTCCACACTCACACCTTTGACCCTCCCCAAAATGCTTTGCAATGTTTGCCACAGCGTTAGCAACATGCAGTGCTGATCTGCCTTCCCAGCGGACCCCCTGAGAGGGGGGGCTGTGTGGTTGTGACAACTATACCTCAAAACATCAAAGGAGATGATGAACATCATTATCTCCATCTTCCCACTAAGGAAACTGGGGCTTAAAGATGTGATTTGCCCAGTATCAGACTGCAAATGAGTGTTAGGGCTTGGTTTAGAATACAGGTCTCCTGACTTCTCCTGAAGCCTAATCCTATAGACCAGAGGTTCTCAACCTATTTCCACTCAGAACCCCTATAGCCACCTGACCAAAACCATCCCATGTATTCACACTCTACACGCTATTGTAATAATCTTTGTACAAAATATGCCTTGTAACATATAATTTGAAAACAAATAACCCACTGATAAATAATATCATGGTGATATGGATATAGCAACGTTATATGAAAGTTATTATTCCCCCATATGATGTCATTAGCACATGTTCAAAACCATACAGCCCTGCCTAGGCAAAAATTGTTACCCAGGAATTTGCCTCAATTTCCATATAAGTAGTAGACAGAATCTTTAAGTCAGCAGGGGGAAGAGATGGCAGGAAACAGAACAATTTGAATTTCAGCAAACACAAGTAGGGGCATGGAGCCCCTTCACCACCAGACTCCATTTTTCTTTTTTTACTGCTTGAATAAACTTTACTCTGACGGGTAACCCTCAGAAGAATCCACTTCAAAGGTTCACTGGTCTATAAAAAAGGGGGTAGAGAATAGGGTGACCAGATGCCCCGGTTTTATAGGAACAGTCCCGATATTTGGGGCTTTGTCTTATATAGGCACCAATTACCCCTCACTCCCTGTCCCAATTTTTCACACTTGCTGTCTGGTCACCCTAGTAGAGAACTTCACATTCTCTTTCACCTAAGACAAAGGCACCAGAAGCTTTGGGCCTTTGGGAGAGATCCTGATGAAGTAAAGGGTAATTCATAATCTTGCTGGAAAAAAGTGGGTGAGAAAGTCCATCTTAAACAAAACCTTGAACCAACCAATTAAGTTTTAAACTTTTAGATGCATGTTTTCACTTTTATTTGCTTGTAACCATTTCTAACTCTCTCTCTTATACCTGAATTCATTTAAAATCCTATCTTCTTTTGTTCATAAACTTGTTTTATTTCTAATCTAAACCAATCCAGTGGCAAAAACTGAACTGTTTGGTAACTCCAGCTAAAGTAAACTATTGAATATTGACTTCTTACAGGGGTAATGCACGTTAATATCTGAACTACCCAGGAGAGGGCTGGTCATTGCAGAACACAAATTTTTGGGAAAATCCGGGCCTGAGAGTGTGTTGGAGTCACCTTGCAAGTAGTAAACAAGGCTTGCAGAAGCCAATGTGTGACTGGTGCATTGCTGGCAAGCTGCTGTGGTCAGAGCTTCAGCTATACACAGACACTCAGCATATGACCTTTATGCTGGTAGCCTGGTTGTGCATGGCCCAGGTTGGGAGCTACACCCGTAAAGCATTGTGAGGCACCCAGGATGACAGAGCAGGCAATGACACGACCCCTCACTAGTCTGGACTGCACCAGAGAATGTGACACCACCCCATCAGGTTTTTTTAAGTGGTCCACCCAAAAGGACTGTGGGATTGGGGTCATGGCAAAAATTCTCAAGGATTTTTGGGGATTCCAGTGAGCTGTTGTTGGATAGGCAGAGCTGGAAATAGTAAGGGGGATTTGGTCTCTAGCTGTTGGTGCTTGGAGGGCCTGGGTTTGGGAGTGGGGCTGATGCTGGCTGATGAGAGTGCTTCCCTTTTCTTTCAACCTTTCCATGCCCCCTCACACAGCTCTCAGACAGCACTACTTCAAGAGGCTATCAAGCCAGTTCCACAGCTTCTAGATGTCCTGTATTATCCTGCCCCAGAACTGAATACTGGGAAGGGGGAGAATCTCCATTGTGATTGGGTTTAGGGATGGAGCAGCAGTAGCAAAAAGGGGGAGGATTATTTGGGGGAACAAGCGGCTACTTTCTTGGTCTCTTGTTGCTCCTGCTGGATCTTCACAGCCATAGGATTCTGCTATGTGGCAAGGGGTGGGTTGTTCTCAACTATGGAGTGCTAACCAGCAAGCAACCCCTAGCAACACACCTGAAGGCATGGCTCCATCATCTGAGAAATATTGCTGTAGGCTACAAGGGCTCCATAGACAAGACACTTAACTAAACTGAGACACAGAGAAGTTTAGTTTGTATACTATTCTTTGGCAAATTTGATTCTAGGAATATTAGATTTTGACAGTATTCTTTATTAAAAGGTACAAATGGCAAACCCTAAGCACATTTAAATAGCTTTGTTTAGCGTCTGTGGTGGTTTGTTTCAAATTTAATGTTATGTATTTCCAAAGAACAAGCTAATGGAGAATTTACTAATGACTTTCTTTTCAAGAAAACTGTGGGTGAGGTAATATATTTTACCCACCTTGTCTCTCTAATATCCTGGGATCAACACAGCTACAACACTGCAAACAAGAAAACTGTGACCAGTAACCAGAGTTCTTGACAGACCCTAATCCTGTTTGAAGCCACTATAAAACAACTGTCCAGAAAATATTTCATTAATTTCGTTAATTAAAAGGTGATTATTTCATTATTTCATTAATTAGAAGGTGATTCTGAAATTTAAAAGACCTCCAAATTAGGCTAAGAAAAATCCTTGCATATGGTAGATACATCACATTCAAGCTTCATTTACAACAATTCAGCAGTATGTAGCTTTTATGGCACAGAGAGATTTACTGAGATATCAAACAATTTGAAACTGAAAGTGAATTACTGCTAAATCCCAGAACTGTCAAAAAATCAATACATTAGATTCTTTGCTAGAAAGAAAGTTCTTTTCTCTGCCTTTTTGGTACCAGACAGTGTTCTCATCAATCTTTTTCATTTTTTTAATCAAATACTCTTATAGAAGGCAACATCTTCATCCATCTTTTTTCTTTTATCAGTCAAACTCACTATCACAGTAGTCAACCTCTTTATCAACCTGTCAGTTCTCCCTTTTGTCCACTTCGCTATTAACCTTTTATCAATTTATCACCAGATTCGGGTACACTATAATAGTTTAAATCAAAGCTAATTCAAAATAAAAGCTAAATAAAAGCTACAGTAATATTACTACTTATTTTACAGATATAGTATATTTTATTCTGAAGGATTCCAAAGCACTTCACATACTAAATCCTTACAC